ACGTCGAAGGTGTAAAGGGAATTGCGGGTGCAATTGAGGCCAGTTTCCAGAGAAAGGAGCAATCCATGAATGTGGATGCTTTCCTTCACATCGAGACCGTTGAGGTGGCTTCGTTGACTACCGTGCAGCCAATGTCCACGACACGTCGGCGTTCGTCGGTGAAGCAGGAGGAGCTGACAATTGTGGTAAATGCTGAACTAGCCGGCAAGACGAGGGACGAAAAAACTGAGAAATGTCTACGTGGCGTTGGGAAAGATTCAGCTAGTTTGAAAACCAAAGCACCATCATTCGTTGAATGCTTCTGCACGGCCAGCTTTACCAAGCAGCGCACTGAGCGCATCGGAGTTGGATTTGTTTTTGGAAGAGGACCGGTAAGTGTACGGCTTGGGGTTTGGATCTTGGGGATTGGAGCGAAGCTTATTAGGGAAGCAACGAATTAAAAACTTGATTTAGGAACCGAGTGAGGAGTTGCCTTCCGACAATGAGTATCCCGATCTGCTCTCCCCTGTTTTGAACATCAAGTCGCCATTGGGCGAGGAGGTGATGTTCCCAGAGGAGCCAGCCGAGAAGAAGAAGAAGAAAAAGAAGAAGGAAAAAGATCAGCAGAAGGAGGCAAAGGCGGAGGGGCTCTTAGAGGTCAATGTGTCGAGGCAACGTACAAGTTCCGGTGAGTTTGTACTTCCTTTGGATTTCTACAAAAAAATAAATGTCAGTAACCAAAAAATAACAACCTTTTAGGGACGAGCGACCTGATGGTGGAACTCGACATTTCCGCCGGTGAAGAGCAGGCAAAAACCGATGCGGTTGTCGACATGAACTTCTTCGATTTCGAGGAGACTGAGATCAGCCTACACGAGCCGACGCCAGTGGAGAACCTGCTCGAGGTCGACGTGATGCTGGAGTCGCTGCAAGAAGAGGAGGAGATTGATGCGATCGCGCCAGCCAAGGCCACGCAGGTAGGAAACCAGGAAAGACAAGCAGAAAATACACAAAATTAAATTAACACGGTATATTCAGGCGAATATAAGTAAATTTGGGAAAAAAACATTAGACGTAACAGTTGCGACAAAAACAAGCTAATGCCAGTTCTAGCATAGTGTGTAGGGTGAAATCCGCTAGGGTATCGCTTCTCCCAACACTGCCATAGGCCAACGGTCTGGGGCGCTTTCCCCAGCGCCCGGTTCCAACTATTCGGGGAACAATTCTGTATGGGAAATTGTTCCCGGAATTATTCCCGGAATAGTTGGAACCGGGCGCTGTAGTCAGGGCTTTTTGCACGATTCGAAATTTGGCCGGCTCGGAATCCACGCGAAACTAAAAGGGGCGGGGCCAGCCCGGATTGCGATCGCCCGAGTTTCGGATCTAGCAACCCCAAACTTAAAGGGCACGTTCAGGGACGTTTTTTTGGAAAAAAGCAAAGCTTTTTGCCGCGGCCGGGGGTCGAACCCGGGCCCCACGCTCGGGAGGCGCGGACGGATACCAGTCAGCCACAGCTACATCCTGGCAAGCGGGCCAGGGGCGCCCCACGCCGCAAAGGAGGGGAATGGCCTGTCACAGCACGGGCTGGCCGTGCGCGCTGTCCCTACGTCCATAGGGTGTACACGTTGGGCCGAGTACACGGCCCCTCCCTGAACTAAGTTAGGTCTGCCGGCAAACCAAATCCGCAGGGTTGGTTCTACACAGATTGTATAGTGGGAAAGCACTGTTATCTTCGAGCAGTGGACCAGGTCGGCGTCTTTTGCCGAGGTTTTTTTTCGGTCGGCTTTTGTTTTTCTTTTGCCTGGTACGGTTTTGCCTCACCACCAGCACAAGATTGCGCGCTTACCTGGTATTAGAAACCGATTTTTTTTTGTAAAAATCAGCTCATAAAGAGATCAACCCAAAGCCGATTAACCCTATAACTAAAAAAGTCGTTACTTGCCTTGCTAGAATAGCGGGTTCTCGAATTTCCAGTGAAAAATGAGAAATTTTCATGAAATTAGCTCGTTAATCAATGATTCGCCATAAGAATGCGAGATTTTACAAGATTAAGCCATTGCGAGCTTTTGCTATTCATAACAATAAAGGGAAACACTAATAAAAACGCTTTACAAAAAGATACAAGGTTTGCAGGTCGTTTCAATGTCAGGCGGCTCAAAACTTACAAAACGCGTGACTTTTTGATGGCTGAAAATTCTAGAGCTTATAAAATATATGTTCGAAGCTATTATGGACTTTCGCGTAAGAAAAAAAAGCTAAAACGGGTTTAGAAAGGACTTTGTTGCGAGGGCGAAATCGAGGCATTTTGGGAGGAAGCGCGGCGGCGCCGCCCCCTTTCGCGGTTGGGGAAAGGTCTCGCCCCGCCCCCCCTCCGAGCTCCCTGCCCGCCCCCAATACCGCGCTGCGCTTCTAAAGCCGATTTCAGGCGCATTTCATTGATTTTCTCAAAATAAAAATGATACTATGATAGCTTAGACCTAGCTGAACATTTTGTTGTACTTTGGAAGCAAAACGGGCTAATATTCGCATAGATTTGGCTCGATAAAGTGCTTGAAGATAAAATTTTTGAATTAAAAGATCAGCTGGGACTATATTTATACCAGCACACGCAAATCAACACAACCATTTAGGCCGTTGAACAGACGATACAGCGCAAATACGGGGACGCGAAGCTGTCGAAGAACTTTGACGAGCAGCGAATGCCCCAAAGAGCCGAGGCGGAGATAGCCGTCAGTGAAAAGAGCGTTGTTACCGCCAAGACACGCAAGACCATCTTCCGCGAGCTTCCTGAGGACGTGCAAACCGATGAGGAGGGCGGTAGAGCTTTTCTCTAAAATTTTTCATCCTTATTACTAAAAAATCTATTCAATAACTGTTTTTTCAGCGAAACCTCGTCAAGTCATCCTGCAACACCCGGAACCTCTTTCCATTGACGTTGTCAGTCAAGTCGGAAAGCTCACTGTCGTCGCCAAGCATCCGATCGAAGAGGCCGTTTGGTATCGCAACGACCTCGTCGTGCCCAAGTCCGACTTTGTGGAGCAGACGGACGGCCCGAATACGTCGAGCCTGATCCTGAAGCGATTCACGGGAAGCTTGGTGGGCGAGTACCATTGTGTGGTGGATGGCGTTGCATCTGAAAAAGCCAAGCTCACCGCCGCAATTGCCCCGGAGATCACCAGCGATATCTCTGGAAAAACCGTCATCTGCTTGGCCAATAAACCTTTCGATTTCCAAATCGACTTCGCCGCGTATCCAGCCCCGACGCTGAAGATTCAACACGAATCCGGTGCGGATATGATGTACGACGCGACGATGTACGATGACTACGTGTCTTTGCGATTCCGTAACCTCAGGACCCGAAACTCCGGCCAGATCACGATCACGCTGGAAAACAGCGTCGGGAAGCAGGAGGTCAAGCTGCGCATGAAGGTGATCGATACGCCGCTGGCCCCACAGAACCTCGTTGCTAGCGATGTCACCGATCGCAGCGTCAAGCTGACCTGGGAACCACCAGAGGGCAGCCTGGAGTTTGTAGACAACTTCATCGTGCAAAGGAAGGCCGGCGACATCTCAAGGTGGCGAAATATCGCAACCTTGTCGGCGAAGACCTTCGAGTACCAGAACACTGAGCTGCTGGCAAATGAGATGTATTCGTTCCGCATTGTTGGTGAAAACAGTACGGGAGAGGGAACGCCCAGTAACAAGGTGAACATCGTGACTCTGGAGGAGATCAGCGATGAAGAGGCTGAGGCCGAGGGCAGCCCGGTGGAGCCCACGGAAGCCGAAAAGGATGTGCCTGAGACGCCTGAGGAGGTTCGCGAACCAACTGAGGAGGCTAAGCCCAAAAAGACCAAGAAGAAGGTGAAGAAGGCAGCTGAGGAAAAGAAAGATGAAGCTCAGGAAGATGAACCAAAAAAGACTGAGCCAGAGGTCAAGATAGAGACCGATAAGCCTGTCGAAGCGCAAGCCAAACCAGAGGAAGCTGAAGCGCAGAAGCCAGAGGCTCAGGACCTCAAAGGATCCCAAGCTGGTGAACAAGCCGGCGACGATCTTGAGGGATCCGCAAAACTGCGCAAGAAGTCCAAAGCTGATGGCGCTGAAGAGGAAGAAGATGAAGAGAAGCCTAAGAAAAAGAAGAAGACCGCCAAGAAACCAACGGATGAAGCGGAAACAGTTCCAAAGACCACAGCACCGGAGGAAACGCCCGCGAGCAAGATAGACGCTGCCGAGATGCAGAAGACCGAGGCAGCCAAAGACCAGCCCCAAGCCGAGCAAGCTGGAAACGCAGACGACGGAACGGTCGAAGAGAAGAAAAAGAAGAAGGTTACAAAACGCAAGGACTCCGCCGCGAAGTCGCTGAGCGAAGCCGAGGCCAAGTCGGTCCAGGAGGAGAAGGCGACGAAGGAGGCCGAGGAGAAGGCCAAGCTAGAAGCCGAAGCCAAGGCCAAGCAAGAAGCCGAAGCCAAAGCAAAGGCTGATGCTGAAGAGGCCAAGAAGAAGGAGGCCGACTCCAAGACGGCCAAGAAGGAGGAGAAGGCCAAGAAGGAGGCCGAGGAGAAGGCCAAGCTAGAAGCCGAAGCCAAGGCCAAGCAAGAAGCCGAAGCCAAAGCAAAGGCTGATGCTGAAGAGGCCAAGAAGAAGGCGGCCGACTCCAAGACGGCCAAGAAGGAGGAGAAGGCCAAGAAGGAGGCCGAGGAGAAGGCGAAGCTAGAAGCCGAAGCCAAAGCAAAGGCTGATGCTGAAGAGGCCAAGAAGAAGCAGGCCGACTCCAAGACGGCCAAGAAGGAGGAGAAGGCCAAGAAGGAGGCCGAGGAGAAGGCCAAGAAGGAGGCCGAGGAGAAGGTCAGCAAGAAGCCGAAGCCAAAGCAAAGGCTGATGCTGAAGAGGCCAAGAAGAAGGAGGCCGACTCCAAGACGGCCAAGAAGGAGGAGAAGGCCAAGAAGGAGGCCGAGGAGAAGGCCAAGAAGGAGGCCGAGGAGAAGGTCAAGCAAGAAGCCGAAGCCAAAGCAAAGGCTGATGCTGAAGAGGCCAAGAAGAAGGAGGCCGACTCCAAGACGGCCAAGAAGGAGGAGAAGGCCAAGAAGGAGGCCGAGGAGAAGGCCAAGAAGGAGGCCGAGGAGAAGGCCAAGCTAGAAGCCGAAGCCCAAGCAAAGGCTGATGCTGAAGAGGCCAAGAAGAAGGAGGCCGACTCCAAGACGGCCAAGAAGGAGGAGAAGGCCAAGAAGGAGGCCGAGGAGAAGGCCAAGCTAGAAGCCGAAGCCAAGGCCAAGCAAGAAGCCGAAGCCAAAGCAAAGGCTGATGCTGAAGAGGCCAAGAAGAAGGAGGCCGACTCGAAGACGGCCAAGATGGAGGAGAAGGCCAAGAAGGAGGCCGAGGAGAAGGCCAAGCTAGAAGCCGAAGCCAAGGCCAAGCAAGAAGCCGAAGCCAAAGCAAAGGCTGATGCTGAAGAGGCCAAGAAGAAGGAGGCCGACTCAAGACGGCCAAGAAGGAGGAGAAGGCCAAGAAGGAGGCCGAGGAGAAGGCCAAGAAGGAGGCCGAAGAGAAGGCCAAGCTAGAAACCGAAGCCAAGGCCAAGCAAGAAGCCGAAGCCAAAGCAAAGGCTGATGCTGAAGAGGCCAAGAAGAAGGAGGCCGACTCGAAGACGGCCAAGATGGAGGAGAAGGCCAAGAAGGAGGCCGAGGAGAAGGCCAAGCTAGAAGCCGAAGCCAAGGCCAAGCAAGAAGCCGAAGCCAAGGCAAAGGCTGATGCTGAAGAGGCCAAGAAGAAGGAGGCCGACTCCAAGACGGCCAAGAAGGAGGAGAAGGCCAAGAAGGAGGCCGAGGAGAAGGCCAAGCTAGAAGCCGAAGCCCAAGCAAAGGCTGATGCTGAAGAGGCCAAGAAGAAGGAGGCCGACTCCAAGACGGCCAAGAAGGAGGAGAAGGCCAAGAAGGAGGCCGAGGAGAAGGCCAAGAAGGAGGCCGAGGAGAAGGCCAAGCAAGAAGCCGAAGCCAAGGCCAAGCAAGAAGCCGAAGCCAAAGCAAAGGCTGATGCTGAAGAGGCCAAGAAGAAGGAGGCCGACTCCAAGACGGCCAAGAAGGAGGAGAAGGCCAAGAAGGAGGCCGAGGAGAAGGCCAAGCTAGAGATGAAGCCCAAGCAAAGGCTGATGCTGAAGAGGCCAAGAAGAAGGAGGCCGACTGGAAGACGGCCAAGAAGGAGGAGAAGGCCAAGAAGGAGGCCGAGGAGAAGGCCATAAAGGAGGCCGAGGAGAAGGCCAAGCAAGAAGCCAAGCCAAGGCCAACAAGAAGCCGAAGCCAAAGCAAAGGCTGATGCTGAAGAGGCCAAGAAGAAGGAGGCCGACTCAAGACGGCCAAGAAGGAGGAGAAGGCCAAGAAGGAGGCCGAGGAGAAGGCCAAGCTAGAAGCCGAAGCCAAAGCAAAGGCTGATGCTGAAGAGGCCAAGAAGAAGGAGGCCGACTCCAAGACGGCCAAGAAGGAGGAGAAGGCCAAGAAGGAGGCCGAGGAGAAGGCCAAGCAAGAAGCCGAAGCCAAAGCAAAGGCTGATGCTGAAGAGGCCAAGAAGAAGGAGGCCGACTCCAAGACGGCCAAGAAGGAGGAGAAGGCCAAGAAGGAGGCCGAGGAGAAGGCCAAGCAAGAAGCCGAAGCCAAAGCAAAGGCTGATGCTGAAGAGGCCAAGAAGAAGGAGGCCGACTCCAAGACGGCCAAGAAGGAGGAGAAGGCCAAGAAGGAGGCCGAGGAGAAGGCCAAGCAAGAAGCCGAAGCCAAGGCCAAGCAAGAAGCCGAAGCCAAAGCAAAGGCTGATGCTGAAGAGGCCAAGAAGAAGGAGGCCGACTCCAAGACGGCCAAGAAGGAGGAGAAGGCCAAGAAGGAGGCCGAGGAGAAGGCCAAGCAAGAAGCCGAAGCCAAAGCAAAGGCTGATGCTGAAGAGGCTAAGAAGAAGGAGGCCGACTCCAAGACGGCCAAGAAGGAGGAGAAGGCCAAGAAGGAGGCCGAGGGAGAAGGCCAAGCTAGAAGCCGAAGCCAAAGCAAAGGCTGATGCTGAAGAGGCCAAGAAGAAGGAGGCCGACTCCAAGACGGCCAAGAAGGAGGAGAAGGCCAAGAAGGAGGCCGAGGAGAAGGCCAAGAAGGAGGCCGAGGAGAAGGCCAAGAAGGAGGCCGAGGAGAAGGCCAAGCAAGAAGCCGAAGCCAAAGCAAAGGCTGATGCTGAAGAGGCCAAGAAGAAGGAGGCCGACTCCAAGACGGCCAAGAAGGAGGAGAAGGCCAAGAAGGAGGCCGAGGAGAAGGCCAAGCAAGAAGCCGAAGCCAAGGCCAAGCAAGAAGCCGAAGCCAAAGCAAAGGCTGATGCTGAAGAGGCCAAGAAGAAGGAGGCCGACTCCAAGACGGCCAAGAAGGAGGAGAAGGCCAAGAAGGAGGCCGAGGAGAAGGCCAAGCAAGAAGCCGAAGCCAAGGCCAAGCAAGAAGCCGAAGCCAAAGCAAAGGCTGATGCTGAAGAGGCCAAGAAGAAGGAGGCCGACTCCAAGACGGCCAAGAAGGAGGAGAAGGCCAAGAAGGAGGCCGAGGAGAAGGCCAAGCTAGAAGCCGAAGCCAAGGCCAAGCAAGAAGCCGAAGCCAAAGCAAAGGCTGATGCTGAAGAGGCCAAGAAGAAGGAGGCCGACTCCAAGACGGCCAAGAAGGAGGAGAAGGCCAAGAAGGAGGCCGAGGAGAAGGCCAAGCTAGAAGCCGAAGCCCAAGCAAAGGCTGATGCTGAAGAGGCCAAGAAGAAGGAGGCCGACTCCAAGACGGCCAAGAAGGAGGAGAAGGCCAAGAAGGAGGCCGAGGAGAAGGGCCAAGCTAGAAGCCGAAGCCAAAGCAAAGGCTGATGCTGAAGAGGCCAAGAAGAAGGAGGCCGACTCCAAGACGGCCAAGAAGGAGGAGAAGGCCAAGAAGGAGGCCGAGGAGAAGGCCAAGCTAGAAGCCGAAGCCAAAGCAAAGGCTGATGCTGAAGAGGCCAAGAAGAAGGAGGCCGACTGGAAGACGGCCAAGAAGGAGGAGAAGGCCAAGAAGGAGGCCGAGGAGAAGGCCAAGCTAGAAGCCGAAGCAAAGGCTAAGCAAGAAGCTGAAGCCAAGACAAAAGCCGACGAGGAAAAGAAACAGGCGCCAGACCTCAAGGGTGCGCAGTCCGGCGAGCAGGCCGGTGTGGATCTCGAGGATTCGGCAAAACTTCGCAAGAAATCGAAGGGTGAAGGAGTCGAGGAAGAAGCCGATGAAGAGAAGCCCAAGAAAAAGAAGAAGAGCACCAAGAAGGCAGCTGAAGCAGTGGAGACACCAAAGGAAGCTGCCGATGTGAAGGGTGCTGAGGTTGCTGATGTCGTCAAGGCCGAGGAAGAACAAGAGAAGCCGAAGAAAAAGAAGAAAAAGTCCCTGGACGGTTCAGAACCAACAAAGACCGTGGCGTTCGAGGCAGAACTTGAGAAGAAGGAGGAGCGCCGATCTGAGGAGGCCGAACTAACAGAGGTGACGTTGGAGGAGGCTGCTGTAGCCGGTGAGGTTGATGAGGAGGCCGAGTTGGCAGCTGCGCGCAGGAAGAAGAAGCGTGTGTCGTTTGCTGAAGGGCTGGAGGAGCCGGAGGAGAAGGAGGAAGAGCGTGTGGAACGTGAGTTAAATACGTAAAAAGGGGGGAGACGTTGGTGTACTGGTTACGGTTATTGAGGTACCGCATCGTAGGCGTGGGTATCGGAAGCTAATCTTGTGAAAAAAACAGGTTCGAAATCGTAAAAAGAAGATGCTAGGGGCAAGCGAAAGGTGCGTCCGGCCAATGGCGCAGGGAAATACCAAAAATCCGAAGACGGGGGAAGTGGGGCTGTCTTTGCGGATGGGCGGTCCTAGAGCGCACGCATTGCCGTCGGCATTAGTGTTGCGGCGTACTCATAGGAGAACGGGCTAGTGGAGTGGGGAGCCCGGCTAAAGTAATCCGGAGCAGCCATTGTCTTGCGACAAAACCGATAATTTACGGAGGCCTTGAATCCTAAAGGATTATCCTTCGAAACTGAATGGACCTTTTTAGCCATCGGCTTTTCCGAGCACCCGTCAGACGTCTCGGCAACCGCTCTAGGCGAGCTTATCCAGCTCACCTGCGCCTACACCGGATCCCCAGGAAGTGTCCGGTGGTACAAGGGTGCCGTCGAGATGTTCGAGATGCGGAACCGCTATGAAATCGTGACCGAGAGCAACAGGACGACGTTGCGGATCCTGCGTGCCGCACCACAGGTGAGAGAGGCTTTTCAGGGCAACCCGTGCGGGTCTCGAACGAAAGGCGTCATGCATAGTGGCGATACCGCACACCAGGAGAATTGGAATGTTTTAAGGGTGCATGGGGGTGGGGAATTTTGCGACGAGTACATTCCTGAGTCGTCGAGGGTTATAGTATTTTCTGAAAATACAGGGTGTCGCAAAAAACGGACCATCTGGCATTTCGCCGTGTTACCTCCAATCGGTCCCAAAATTGGACCAGAGGTGCATCAGACCCTAAATAACAACAATCCTGACTGATAGCCCTGTAGCTATAGTAGTTCTCGAGTTATGGCAATAACAAACTTTATTTTCTATTTTTCATAGGGTTTTCGTGGAATTAGACCCCCTAAACATTAGATGACAGGTCGTTAGATGAATTTTAGCCCTTACGAGGTTCGGCTTAGACTTCGGCTTAGGCTCAGGCCTAGGCTAAGGTTTAGGCTTAGGCTTGGACCTAAAATTAGGCTTAGGGCTTGGGCTCAAGCTTCGCTTAGACTTCGACTTAGGCTTAGGCCTAGGCTTAGGTTTAGGCTTAGGCTTGGACCTAAACTTAGGCTTTGGCTTAGACTTAGGCTGCGCTTCGGCTTAGTACTTTGGACTGCTAGGGAGGAGAGAAGGATTTTTATTCTCTCATGACCTATCTGTTAATGAGGTTAATAATACATAATGTATTTTGCAAAATTTTTAGTAATTTTTCATTGCTAGAAAGTGCTAAAAAATTCGAAAATTCATTACCACAAGCGGAAAAAACCAAACCTTCAGGACATTGGCGACTACCACGTGACTCTCAACGACAAGCTGGATAGTATGAGCTGCCGGGTGGACATCCGAGCAGCGCCGAAGATCGATCTGCTCGACACCAAGCCCGAGATCAAGCTCACGCAGGGCCAGACGTTGAGCTTCTCCTTTGAGTTCAATGGATACCCCAAGCCTGAGGTTGACGTCATCCTCAATCGACTACCTTTCAAGGTGGGTTCTGTTTTCCACATTTTCGTTTAGACGCCACAGAAACGTACATTGAAATCTTATATACGTTTAGATGAAGGGCCAGGTTGACCAGTACGAAGATGCGGTGACTGTACGTCTGCGTAACGTCGCCCAGAAAGACGGTGGAACCATCGAAATCGACGCCACAAACATCTACGGGACCGCCACGGCGACGGTCAAGCTGATCGTGGTAGATGTTCCTGGTGCGCCGCAGAAGCTCGTCTGCCAGAAGGTGGGTGTTTTTTGGAGATTGCCAAGTTGCGAAAATTTGCTAAACGAACTATCGAAAATTGGTGGCCAAGCAAGTGTTTACCTTCCAAAACTCCTGGAACACCTTTTTTGAAAAAAATTTGACACGGGCGAAAGCACAGTGCATAAACTAGGTATATTCACTCACTAGCGAAAAATAATATCGTACATTTCCAAGGAAGTTTGACTTTTGGTTGGGGGAATGCGCGACTGGTTTTATGAAACTGGCAAAACTAAAGGAGCAAAAAGGGGACTTTAAAGGGGCATGGAAGTCAAAATTCGCGCAGTCGGGGTTGAACGCACTGGAAAAAAACACGTCGTAATGTCTTGTAAGGCGCCCAGTCTCTCGATCTCGGCGATTCCCTGATCAATTTTCCTAATTAAAAAGTCTAGAATGACCAAAATTCGATGAGGAATCCGAAAGGAGCGTCAGAATTTTTAAGTTAAAGCGTTTTGACGTCTAAACAGGGGCAAGAGCCGATGCGGCGCGGTCGCGTTGCGGTCCCATCTTTCCCTATTGGTTTTTGAAAATAGTTTGATGTCCGCCCATCCGAATTTGAATTTTCTAGCTTCTTTAAATGGCAAAATCTGGTTTCGGTTTTTGAAGCGCGGGCGTAGACGATTCCGTTCGAAAAACTCAATTTCAGAAAACGTTTCGATCACTTAATATTATCAGGCTAGTGACGATTTTTGCTACCAAATTCGCTGCGACACGTTTGTTATTGCAAAAATCACCTTTGTCAAAATAAATGTTTCGGGCATTTTTAAAGTTATGTTAATTATGAGAAAATCAATCCCATTTAGACCGATTGTGGCATACTCTGCAAATCAAAAAAAAATTTTTAGCTGACATTTCAAAACTTTTTTTTGAAGCCCATTCATCTTTTGATCCAGTGTGTCCATATTATTATCTTAACGATCTTTTTAGCTACAAAATACCTTGCAACATTTTTTTTTCACGAGAACCTGAATCGGGTAGCGTAATCCGATTTATCTTTTTTCTTTGGTTTTCAAAAAAATTGTTTCATCTAATCTTGCTCTGACGTCAGCTTCCGGAAAAAGCATTTACTCATGGATTTCTTTCAAAATAATCGTTATATCGTGTCGTAGGAAAATAAATTTTAATGTTTTAATTCGTCGTCCTTACGTTAAAATTCAAATCGACGGTTATTTTTCTGCATCGGACAGACTTGAAACATTTAAAATTGACAAATTAATGGCAGATATTTCTTATTTCAGCTAGGAGTTTTCTTCTGAGCTTTTAGAATTTATGAAAAAAGCAACTGAATGTTAGCTTTCCTCCGACATCCGTTTGGTAATAGAATTTAGTATATAGGTTTTAAGTATTTGACGTTTTTGAACCTTTATATCTTATTCTATTATTTTTATAGATTTTTTAAAATTTTCTAGGGTTGGTTAGTTGCAATTTTCTTTATTTGAGATACAACAAACAATCTTGAATGGAATATTTTTGACCCACTGACATATTATCAGCGAAACATTTTTCAACAAAAATTTAAATTTTGTAAAACACACAACTGTATTCGCACTGTCCAGTCTTCAACGGTCTTATTTAGGTGACGCACAACTCTGCCGTACTATCTTGGCAGCAACCCGACGAGGACAACGGCGCCCCGATTACGGCGTATATTGTCGAGCGGAAGACGGTCGACTTCTCCAGATGGCGTCAGGTAAATACTTTTCTTTTTTGCTCGTCGCTAACAAACCAATATTAAATTACTCATTCCGCAAATCGGTTTTGAAAAAATCGGAAACATATTTTTTCCGGCATGTTCCGGGATTTTAAAGGGCCGGAAAGGGCGAAAATCGTCTAGTTGTCGGGAACTAGTCAATGTTAAATTTCTATTATAATAATTATCGAATCAGCTATTGTAAATATCCCGAATAAAGATTATCGGCTTAGGGATTAATTTATTATTTGTTTAAGGGCAACACATTTTTTTACGAAGTATGGTTTCGGTAGCCAATGACTAAAAACCTCCCATTATGAGGTGGCTCCTCAAATAAGGGGTAGCCAAGATTAAAAACATTCCTATTCAAAAGCGTTTGTTGAGTTTAAAGGGATCGGAAAAAAAAAGGATGCGCGGCTCTGATTGCTCCCACCAGTATGATGACCATAAGAAAATGGGTTGCGAAAATCTGGAACACGTTTTCGGATTTTAAAGGCGTCAGAAAGTATTATACCCGCACCCCCTCTATACTTTTAGTTTTTCGAAGATGGGCATTTAACGAACAAAAATCACCTATCGGTTGATATCAAAGCAAGAAATTAATGACTTATTTAGCGTTTAGATATTTCTCTCGAGACCCTAGTGGTCAGTGCCTAGGGTTGATTCGCTAGGCTTGAAGGTTGATTTCAGCCTCAGCCAATGTAAAATTGAGCTTTAAAGGTATTTTATACATTTTTACGAAGGTTTATTAAGAACAAAAAGGGGAAAAGTTAATTAGGTAGCCCATCTTGAACTCTGGATTTGTGAAAATTTAGAACGTACTTTTGAAAAGCCACCGGAGGTCAAAAACACAATACGTCTACTAATGGATATTCGACATGAAATTTACCATTTGGTGTGTAAATAACCTAGTCGATGGCAGGGTCGATTTTGCGGCGTACCGTCCCTTTAAACCGGGGATAAAATATGGATTTGGGCAATGTCCACCTTGAAGAGGCGATTACAAGCTTACCCGCCTATTTTCCCTCTTTTGTCTAAGAACATCCAATTTTACTGTAAAAATTCAAAGGTGCCTAAAAACCCGAAGTTTTACCCAAATCAATTAAAAAAATCAATCGACTTAATAAATCGATACCTTTCCAGGTGGCCACCATCGACGACGGGTCCACGAAATACACAGCAGGGGACCTGTTGTGCCGAAGGAACTCTACGGGGTTCCGCATTTGGCGGTGAATTCCTGCGGTGAAGGTATGTGTTTCAGAGGAATTTGGCCAGTTCCGTTAGGGCCAGCTTATTTTAATATCCGAATCTTTCATTTCAATTTCAATTAGATTTGAGTTTTTGGATTTAATAAACACCTAAAAATAGAGCGGAACGGCATTTTTTTTGTATTTTAGTCATTTTCTCACATTGTACTTACCGATCTAAGGTAGTCTTTTACATTTTGAGATGAGTGACTAGAGTTATTAAAAGTGACAATTTAATTTGGTACTTTCCAATTGTTTTAATATACGGTTTATGGACATTAAAACACCTTTGAAAATTTTGCAATGACCCTAAGAAATTAATAGAAAATTTCATTCAGCAATTTTTGGTAATTTTCAACGTCTAAAAGGAATTTATTTTTACCGAATTGTATGCAATTGCAGGGGCTTAATGGTCCTTTAAATACCTCTAAAAAGCTCTCTGACTAAGTAAGAAATTTAATTCCTTACAATTTTGAACGATTTTCAGGTGCCCCTAGCAAGGTGGTCGACGTGGGGACGGCTGGAGGAGCCGGAGGACTACGAAGAAGCGGGATACGACGACGAGTTGAAGGAGTACGACGACGAGAAGAAGGAGGTTTTGGAAGAAGAAGATAAGAAGACTAGCACCATGCAAGCAACTGAAGGTCGGTAAATTTCTGGAACTATTCCTTGCATTAAAACATGTTTTTTCTGAAAATTCTATGTTTCGGCTGTGAGGTATTTAGGGCAACCAGGATCAACTTTCAATTAACGGTCTTTTCGTGTATATTAAATTCCTAAAGTAAAATTTCTTAAATTCTTAATCCTAATTTCTTAATCTTTTACAGTCTTCCCCTCGGTTTTTCCTATCTGGACCTTTCAACAAATTGGTAATTACCGAAATTCTTTTCCCATGTTTCATGGAAATCGAACTATGAATAAGCCCAGTTTTGAGCAATTTATGAATTCCTGCAGCCGGATTCCTGTCAATATTTCCTCAAACAATCTCTGCTAGCCTGCCCTCCTCTCGGGGTCCGTCCATTTCCTCAAACAATCTCTGCTAGCCTGCCCTCCTCTCGGGGTCCGTCCATTTCCTCAATCAATCTCTGCTAGCCTGCCCTCCTCTGGAGGCCTAGATTTCCCAAATGATCTTTGCTAGCCCTCCCAAATGATCTCTGCCAGATTGTTCACAACACGGCGCCCGCGTGGCGGCAATGTCCCTAGGCTGCTCCAAGCCCTGTTCCTCCTCCTCCTCCCGCTTTTTTCGTTCATGTTCACAGCCGAGTCAAGTGTCAGTTTCTCTCATTTTTTTGTCGTAGGGGTCAAACTTGTGTGTGGCGCGCGGGACCAGGCAGCTGCAGCCAACCTCACTTATCTCTTGGCCACTTTTTTACGTGGCCCTGGGCCCTAAGCATTAGGGCCCAGCGCGACCTCCCCCCACTGCTGACAATTTGTATGCGTGGCCCTCTCTTCTTGAGAGATCCCCCCTTCTCTAGATCTCTACACGGGCGCACGCCCCTCTAACGCGCCTCACCCCTCGCAAGCGCGCAAAGACAACGCGACCAGGCTCTAGGCCCCGGCAAATAGTAAATCTGAGGTGGGGGTAGTAAATATCGGGGACGTATAGTTATGGGGGGACAAGCTGGCAGAGATCATTAAGGATAGGGGCAGGCTGGCAAAGATCATTTGGGATGAGAGAGAGGGGGAGGGGACAGGCTAGCAGAGATCATTTGGGATGAGAGAGAGGGGAGGGGCAGGCTAGCAGAGATCATTTGGGATGAGGAGAGGGGGGAGGGGGCAGGCTAGCAGAGATCATTTGGGATGAGAGAGAGGGGGAGGGGGCAGGCTAGCAGAGATCATTTGGGATGAGAGAGGGGGAGGGGCAGGCTAGCAGAGATTCTTTGCCGCGCATCACCAAAATTTCTTTTTTGTATAAGTGCAGTAACTGCAGACAATTAGTGCAGCTGGTTTATTACTGCATCACCTTTTTGCTTAGAACATTTTTTCCACAGCTATGGCCGAATTTCGAATGACTTACAGGGATCCTTCCAGAATGTACAAAACCTCAGTTTCAATAGATCAACTGAAAATTCAGAGTATCATTGGCCAAATAATTCTAATGAGTGGCACATGAATTCTTCTTCTGCAGCCAATTAATGCATTTCTTTAATACCGCGCTTCATAGTTCCTTGAAAGATTTTTGCCGGGCGTCCAACCAGAAAACACTTCTGATGAAGTTTGGGCTTACCAGCAGAAAATAGCCTGGAATACTACTTTACTTTGGGCTTAAAAATGTGAGAGGCAGGCTAGCAGGAGGACTCTTTAGGAAAGCGAGGGGAAAGGGGCAAGTGAGGGAAACGGTAGCAGGCACCATTGCGGAATTGTTACTATAGTGAAGCGGTCTGTTAGGTTCAGGGTGGACCCAAATCTTGCTGTCCGCCTTTTTGTTCATTTTTTAAGCACTTCATTGCGCTGCGAGGATTAATGGATTTCTCCATTACTCCGGGTTGCATTTTCTTGAAACACATTTTGCCAAATGTTGCTGATACATCGAGATTACTAGCAAAACTCCGACTTGCTTCCAGACAATTTTTCTCTTTGGAATTTGGGCATGCTGGCAAAGATTCTTGGGGAATCGGGAGAGCCAAGGTTATTTGGGAAATGGAAACTGGCAGAAATCCCCTAGGAATTAGGAGGAAAACGCAACATTTAAATTTGTCAGTTCGAGAGGCGGAGATAGCAGCCAGCAGTGACCATTGCGGAACCCTATTCTCGCTCAAAATTCGAGAGTAGGCTAGCAAAGATCCTTGTGGAGTATAGAACCTATTAATGCGTTGGGCTAGCTAGCCGCGACGTTTGCGGAACCCTACTACTCCGTTCAAAATTCGAGAGGTAGGCTAGCAGAGACCCTTGCAGGAACGCTATTTCGCCCAGAAAATTAAGGCAGGCTAGCAAAAACCCCTTAGGAAATGGTGTACAGTTGCCAGCGCGCGCGCGTACTCCCTTGTGGATCTGGGGTGGATGAGAGGGTAGTGTTGGGGTCTTTTGGTTGTGTATTCGGATATCCCTCTCTCTCTCTCTCTCTCTCTCTCTCTCTCTCTCTCTCTCTCTCCTCTCTCTCTCTCTCTCTCTCTCTCTCGCTCTTCGAATCTCAAATCCGCCTCCCTCACTCCCCCAGGAGAGAGAAAGATCCACTATTTACCCACCATCCCCAGCAGATGCACGTTCCTGAATCCCCCTTCTACTGGTGAAGCCGATTTTCATAATTACACTGTTTCCTCAAAGAATCTCTGCTAGCCTGCCCCCTCTTGCGTCCGTCCATTTCCACAAAGAATCTCTCATAGCCTTCCCTTTCCTGTTTACCTTCTCTGAATTTCAAAAAGATGCTTCGACCCTTAGGTGCTATGGCCTGGACACCAACACAAGAATAAATTCCCAGTCCCGACCTACAAGTATTTGCTTATGATTTTATTCAATTTTTGCATAATTAAACTCTCAAATTCCCTCTGTCTGAAAAATTTCACTCTCTTCAATATCATCAATTTCCCAAAGATCTCTGCTCCCTGCCTCGATTTCAAATAACTCGTGCGCAGGAGCAACAACTAAAATGTTTCAAAATATCTGACCTTTCTTGGTGAGGCTTGGCTGATAATGCAGCGACGTGCGAGGATCCATAAAAATGCGCCAAAATTCCACAAAGGCCCTCTGCTAGCCGGCTCTCTCTTTTGGGACCGCATTGCATATTCACTGTTCTTTCCAAAGAAAATGGTCTCAAATGGCCTCTGCTAGCTCCTGCCCATTTGGAAAACCTTCTCTGCAAAATTTGTGTTTCAACCTATTTTATGGTTTGCAAAACTTGGTGCAAATAATCGTCGTTAGCTTCGTTTGTGAAAACCCTGCAATATGCCCCTGAATCGTCGCCAAGCGGCGCTAAAAATTTTGCACTACAATTTCCGAAATTTCCACAGTGATCTCGTCTTGCTTTTCGGTTGCTATAATACCTTTGCAATTTTTCTAAAGCAGTGCAAGCCTTTTCTTTTTCGGGCAAAGCTATATGTTTCACAGAAAGAATTGTTTCAAAATAACTACAGGTCTTTAATGCGAGCTGTGATGAAACCATTTTTGCTGATTGTAAATTCAGGCTCATTTCCGCTAGCCTGATCGCTTCCCAAAGTTTCTCTGCTGGTTATCGCTGAATTCAAGCGCTACCCGGTTTTACAAAATTATGTTTTACTATATTCGATGATCCGCAAAAGATAGAGATTGCTAGTCGTACCAACATTCCGTGCAGAAAATTTCTCAGACTTCCCTCAAATGTCTCGTTTCTAGTAGCATTTAGCGCTTTTTGCACGTTCAAGGTTCCTCAAAAGTCGTTGCCAACCTTTTTCTAATTTCGTTGCTCAATTTCCCAAATAATCCAGACCTGCCTCCAAACTACGATCTGTCATTTTTCTTTCTCGAAGGATCCCTGCCAGGGACGTAGCGTAAAGGTGGGCCCCTGGGCCCAGCCCCCGAAATCGGTCAGGGCCTGAAAATTTCATAAGGGGACCCTTATGATTTTTATTTTCTCAAAAATTTTGCTGCCTGCGGCGCTATTTTTTCACGTTTTTACTGCTATTTGTAGAGCTATGTAGCCTTTTTCCAAAATTTTTTCGCCTGCGGCGCTGTTTTCTCGTTAATTTTTGAGTTTTCGAAAAAATTTTTCGAGAACCCTCCCCGAAATTTTTTCTAGCTACGCCCCTGATCCCTGCTATTCTAGCCCGACTTTTCCCAAACAATCTCTGCTAGCCTGCTTCTAAATGCTTGAATCTCACCCACAATTTCCTTACGATCTCTGCAAAGCGGCCTTTTCCGCTGTGCTACGAAGCTATGTTTCATGGTATCCAGTGTTTCGAAATCCTGCGTGATGTTTAATTCTTCCTCGTATTCGTTCGCCCCAAAACCTTCCAAAACGCTGCAAATAACCTCTGCTAGATGCCTTTTAGCTGCATCTGTTTTCAGAAT